AAGACGACTGGAGAGGCATACGAATGCTTTGTGACAGCGTCAAAGTCAAGGACCCAATGAAAGTAGGACGGTTTGGCCTAGGTTTCAAGTCTGTTTTTCACCTGACAGGTAAGGGGGCCACTGGCACTCGTCGAATATTAATAACATCCCGGTCCTCTGTTTTGAAAAGAATCAGTTACTGATAAACCTAACGGAATTCACATGCGATGTATATTATTTATTGAATTGGACGATTTCCAAATAGTCATCTAGTTTTATTTAAACTCATCCTCGTCAGATTGTTTAAAACGATAGTATGCTTGTAAAATGATTTTCCGCTCTGTTACAATTTAATTGGCTTAGACATGCTGGCGAATAAAACTTAGAATAATAGTTGAATAAAGCACAACTTGTCTCACTTCTGTATACAACTGGACATAGGAATCTGAAGTATCAGAATAATAGTTTGATACAGTTGGAAAACAACTGGGAAACTCTTCCGTTTATTACAGATTTACCGAGTATTCTGAGCGGCACAAAAGTCGGTTTCATCGATCCCCACGAGGACCACTTCAATAAAGGACGAAGAGAAAGGAGAACAGGATACCGTTGGCACCTGCGCAAAGACCGTGAAAATATGAACAGAATACCTGATCAATTTCTTCCCTACAAAGGAATATTTGATTGCACCGAGGACGTCTTTCTTGAGGGACGTTACAGAGGAACGTTGTTCCGCTTTCCGTTGCGTACTGAACCATCTGAGCTGTCCCAAACATTGTACTCTGACGAAAAGGTGGAACATCTGTTTGCGAGTTTTTGCGCCGATGCACACTTTGTGCTCCTGTTTCTTCAGCATTTAGAATCTGTAGAGCTTTTCGTCCGAGAGAAGTCAGAATCCGAGCCACGAAAAATATTCCAAGTTCAAATCAGTCATGAAAGTCTTGCATTTGTTCGTGAGAAGAGACAAGAGTTTTACAACGCGATCACACCAGGCAAGCGTATGGCAGAACCTGTGACAGTGACGTATCCAATTACAATGGTAGTCCAATTTTCAAATGAAAACGTGGAACGTCATTCTTATCTCGTGACAAGTTACTGCAGCGGAGGTGAGGTCTCGTCCACGTTTGAAAAGCTTCTGACAGACAAAGAGCTAAGTTATCTACCTTCAGTTGGCGTTGCAATGGCAATTCCATCAGAGTCCACTTCAGAAACGCCCAACATTCGAGGTCACGTGTTTTGCGCCCTCCCTTTGCCTGTGCAGAAAAAGAGCTTAACTGGTCTTCCGGTGCATGTGAATGGCTTTTTCTCATTAAGTCAGAACAGACGACACATAAAGACACCGAATGCAGATCAAG